ATGTCGCTTGAACCACATCACATTGGAACTTATGTCAATAGAAGATATAACTGAAAAAACATCAAACGAATGACTGCGCTGCAAATTTGACAACACACAATTAAAAATCGTTCGATGATAATAAAAAAAGACGACAATCGCGGTTCCAAAAAGGAGTCTCGAGAATAACTCTGATTCATCCGAGATTGAAAGACAACTACGCGAAAGCGTCTTGTGACAGTAAAGTTTTGCAAGAGTAAGATGATTTGCAGTTATGCGAATAATCTTTTGAAACATGTGGGATTATGAGAGAAAATTAAAAAAAAATGATTCTCTTATTCTTAATATAAAAAACTTAAACGATATTACTATGGATTCGGTATATCATCTTCATCTTCATCTTCACTCTTATTGTCAACCATCATTGTCTATGCAGAAAGAAAAAAAGCTAGAAAAAGAATCGAAGCTTTCATATCATATAGAAATTTGTGGAATGATATATTTTATTAATAATCAAAATAACATATAAATAGATAAGAGTTTTATATTAAATAAGTAAATTAAATATAATAATAAATATTTCTAAATATATATTTTTCGCATTTGATAAAATCTCCATTATACGATATATCTCGTAATATTTTCAAAATCCAGTATATCTCAACACCCCTGACCAGGGTCATCTTCTTCCTCATTTTCCGAATTTTTCTTCACCATTGTTCTGCAACGTCTGGTTCGACGGACTAAACCCCGGTCAGCCTTGGACCAGACTTCGAACTTTTCACAAATCACACAAACACGAACTAAATCCGATTGGGTAACACACCAAAATAGTCACAAGCTATCATGGAACATGAATCAAGTATCAAATTAGCACGAATCATTCAAAACCCCAAAATCAAAGAGATTAAGATTTTTTTATTTAAACTCCTTTCACTCACCTGAGGTTTTCCCGTTGTTTTCTAACCCATTCTGACATTTCCTCTATGTTCCTCGTCAGTTTGTGGCTCCTCTGGTGGCTCCAGTTTGCTCCCCATGGCTGGGCTCGAGGGAGAGATGGTTGTTCTCCATCAAGAGAGACAAAGAACGAAAGGGAGAGAAAGAACACGTGAGAGTGAGAGAATAGAGAGATCTGAGATTTGAACCAAAGGAAGAGGGAAAAGAAGTGTGAAAGAGAAGGTTGACAAGCACAAGGTGGCAGCGAGGTGAAAGTCTCGGTGAAAACAAAGCAGGAGGTGGCGAGTTCCGGTGAAACAAAATTCACCATGAGTTGACCCAGCGGAGCCCGATCCGACAGACGAGATTTGGTCTGCTCCGGACCAAGTTCTTCACTCAGTCTGCCCTCGATTTCCTCAGTCTGTCAGTGCTTTGATTGTTGGTGTTCTAGTCTGGCGAACCAAATGTTGGTCAGCCCCGGACCAGACATCTTTTCCTTCTTCTCTAGGTTTGCTCTGCCTGCTTCGGTTCGCCAGTTTGATCGCTTGCTCGGTTCGGTGGACCTATAATTGTTCAACTCCGGACCAAGTCAATTTTTCTTCCTCGGGCACATTTTTGTCTGCATTACTTCACGAATTGCTCGGTTTCCCGCTTCTTACTTGTTCCCGATCCTATTAATGGAATTTAAGGGATTATACGTTGGATCTGCTAATTTCCATTAATCAAACGTAATTAGTTCTAGTTTACGCTTATTTATTCATATTAACGAAATCCGGGATGTTACAATATTCATTAGTTAAAACAATGACTTAATTTATAGATTTGTTAAACGTTGTGATAGACTGTACACTATGACATCCTGGGTACCGATGAGGGGGGAGTGATGGCCGGTGCAAAAGAGCAGAGACAAGGTGCAGCTCCTGGCAGGCTTCTATGTAGAAGGGGTTCGAGAATGAATCGAATGCACAAAGTGAGAGGGATCTGATGGCTATGTAGGTATGGGACTACCCAGTCAATAATAACTTAAAAGATTTGATTGAACAACTCATACAAACAAGATAAATCTACTTCTTCGATTGTCTACCTCGAGAGAACTCCAAGTAAGTGCGTTTGCTCTGGAGTAGTCTCACGATGGGTGACCTCCTAGGTAGTACTTCCCATGATGTATGCGAGTGAGAAAAAAAATACACTAAAAGGTTTTCGTGTTGGTCTGTGGGGAAAGTTTCAACTTCTGTAAAGGTCACGAGGCCTTACGTATGTGAACCTTTCAAATGTTAGAACTTCCTCACAATTCAACAAAACGTATGTGTAGACCACATGATAATCTTTGTCAGATAAATAGGCATCACTTGGTTTACCCCACATCGTTTTTTTCTGTACAATATTTGTAGTATGTCTTCATGCATCGAGTAATTCGGTCCATCATCGCAATGAAATGGTCTGTTTGGCACTCTACTCTTTGTCATCACATGATCTTCGAAATAATATGACGTGAAAAATGAAATTTCCTCATTAATATATTGTTCTGCAATTGATCCTTCAACAAATGCCTTTTGTTTCATTTTTTGCTTCAAGTGGTACATGAACCACTCGAATGAGTACATCCATCTAAAACAAATACGTACAAAATCCATAAATATAATGTAAAACTATTTATACTCTTAGAATTGACCATAACATACCTAAATTGAATCGGTCTACCAAATTCTGCTTCTCGTGGTAGATCAATTAGTAGATGTATTATCACATTAAGAAAAGATGGTGGAAATATTTTCTCTAGATTTTCCAATGTTACAATCATCACCTCAACGTCTTCAATTTTCAGCGTCCGACTATAAATCTCGCAGAAAAAAAATGTTTATCCCAACAAAAAAAACATATCAATTGTTGTAAAATACTTTGTTCAAATTGATAATTAAAGACTTATGAAAAATAAGGGGAATACCGCAAAAAATATACAAACTTTTTAAATTTGTCTAATAAATACACGAATTTCCAATTTTGTATAAAAATGCATAAGTTTGCGTAGACCCATAAAAACACTAAACTCAATAGGTTTTTTCAGTAGTTGTATGCGAAATTTTTTAAAAAACTTAGAAATTTTGTTCATTCTTTTGTTTGGCACGTGATTCGATAGCGCGAACACAAGACTATTGAATGTAAACTAAAATAGAAAAATCGCATATAGATACCTGGACTTTTACAAAAATTTTACATAAATACTTGAACTATAAAACTCTTATATAAATACCTGAAGTTGTCACAATTTTATATATACCCAAACTTTTTAAAATCTCTAAAATGATACGAAAATTCATTAATGAAGTTTAATTTCTAACGGAATTTGTCAAAAATTAATGACTTAATATTTTGACACGTTAAACGTCGCTAACGAATATTGTTTTATTTGGGAGATTTTCAAAAGACTGGGTATTCTTGTGAAAGCTTTGAAAAGTTTAGGTATTTATATGAGAGTTTATAGTTCAGGTATTTATATGAGAGTTTTATATACATGTTGTGAACGTATTTGCAAATGTAATAGGAAGCAATCGTTGCATGAAGACATGACAACCATGGCTCTTCATATCTGTCAACTTATTTCCTATGATGTCAACACATCGTGAAAGATTAGAAGAGTTTCCATCAGGAAATTTCACATATGTAATGCCCCAGGCTGGTACCGAATATTGAAACTGCCCTCACACACTACACGAGACTTTTGAATGTGTTTTGTTCTCACTCACATACATATCGAAAAACACTTTCCATTAGGTCACTCATCTTTAGATTGCTCCAAAGTGAGCACGTTTAACTTTGAAGTTCTCTCGGGATAGGCAATCGAAAAGGTGGGTGCACCTTATTGGTATGAGTAGATCAATCGATCTTTTAAGTTATCTCTAACTGTGCAAATTCATACCTACACAACCCTTGTATCTCTCTTACTCTCATGCGTTTGATTCATTCTTGTACCCATCTGGCCTAGTGGTTCTCGGGGAGTTACTTCTAGTGTATGCTTATTGTACCGACGATTACTCCCCACCGTCATCCTAACTCGGGATGCCACAACATCTTCCTTCAATCAATTGTAATGAAATACATGGAGCCCACGAATATGATGATTACATAGTTATCTAATATATCAAATTCAAGAATACCAAAGAATAACACCAAAGACAAATAACAACAAAGCATATAGACTCATTACATTCGAAATAGGGAGGTGCAGTGGAGATGTTAGACATATGGGGATGGAGGAGACTTGTACTCGGCCTTAGGGGCTGGCGAATAGTACGGTGGAGGTGGTTGAGAAGTGTACACATATATAGAGGAGGAGACTTTTACTCCGTCTTTGGAGAAGAAGAGTAATATGGTTGTGGAGGTAGCAATGTATATCATATGGGGGTGGAGGAGACTTGTACTTCACCCTAGAGACTGGTGAATAGTAAGGTGGAGGTGGTGGAGAAATGTATACATATGGTGGAGGTGGAGGTTTGTAATTAGTGTTTGGAGAAGGAGAGTGATATGGCGATGGAGGTGGAAATATTAGACGTATGGGTGTGGAGGAGACTTATACTCAGCCTTTGGGCTGGCGAATAGTACAGTAAAGGTGGTGGAAAAGTGTACACATATGGTGGAGGAGGAAACTTGTGCTCTGTCTTTGGAGAAGGAGAGAAATATGGTGGTGGAGGTGGCGATGTATATACATATTGGGTGGAGACTTGTACACTGGCTTGGGAGAAGGATAATATTTTAGTAGTGGAGGAGGATATTTGTATACATACGATGGTGGAGGATTATATACAAGTTTTGGGGATGGAGAGTAACATGGTGGGGGTGAGGGATACGCACAAACGTGTGGGTATGATGGTGACTTATACTGGACTTTTGGAGATGGAGAATTATATGGCGGTGGAGGGGGAGAACTGTAAACGTAATGGGCAGGTGGAGACTTGTAATAAACCTTTGGAGATGGGGAGTAGCTAGTAAGGTGGTCATGGAGAACGGCAAACATGACTTGTACCCAAAACCTTCGGTGAAAGTGAATAGTAAGGTGGAGGCGAAGATATTGAAAAGATAACACACCATTAACTTAATAAAACCAACCTTCTCATAGCATCAATAATCGTGAAATATATGAAACTCGTGAATATGACGATTACATAGTTATTCAAGACATCAAATTGAAGAATACCAAAGGCGAATAGCAACAAAGCATATAGACTTTAGACATAAAAAATTTAAAAGGTAATCATACAAAGTCTGAAGCAAACTGATAATTCGACCAATGCAATTTATAATTCATAAAAATTAAGAGGAATTTTGAAGAATAGTACTTAGATATTGAGTGGAATCCAAGCGATCATATGTTCACTGAATTCAATGGACTTTAGTAGTATGAAGGCGTAGGAGATTTATATTCAGTCTTTGGAGAAGGAGAGTAATATGGTGGTGGAGGTGGAGATGTGTTGACGTATGAGGGTGGAGGAGTCTTGTACTCGGCCTTAGGGACTGGTGAATAGTACGGTGGAGGTGGTGGCGAAGTGTATACATATGGTGGAGGGGGAGATTTGTACTCAACCTTTGGAGATGGTGAGTAATATGGCGGTGGAGGTGGAGATGTGTAGACGTATGGGGGTGGAGGAGACTTATACTCCACCTTTGGGGCTGGCGAGTAGTATGATGGAGGTGGTGGAGAAGTGTATACATATGGTGGAGGTGGAGATTTGTACTCAATCTTTGGAGAGGGGGAGTAATATGGTGGTGGAGGTGGAGATGTGTACACGTATGTGGGTGGAGGGGACTTGTACTCAACCTTTGGGGCTGGCGAATAGTATGGTGGAGGTGGTGGAGAAGTATATACATATGGTGGAGGTGGAGATTTGTACTCAGTCTTTGGAGAAGGAGTATAATATGGTGGAGGAGGTGGAGAAGTGTAGACATATGGGGGTGGAGGAGACTTGTACTCGACCTTTGGGGCTGGCGAATAGTACGGTGGAGGTGGTGGAGAAGTGTATACATATGGTGGAGGGGGAGATTTGTACTCAACCTTTGGAGATGGTGAGTAATATGGTGGTGGAGGTGGAGAGCTATACTTATATGGATGAGGATGAGATTTATACACTGGCTTGGGAGAAGGAGAATAGTACGATGGTGGAGGAGGAGATTTGTATACATATGATGGTGGAGACTTATATACAATTTTTGGGGATGGAGAGTAACATGGTGGAGGTGGGGGACAAACACAAACGTGTGGGTATGATGGTGACTTATAGTAAACTTTTGGGGATGGAGAATAATATGATGGTGGAGGGGGAGAACTGTAAACGTAATGGGAAGGTGGAGACTTGTAATAAACCTTTGGAGAAGGTGAGTAGTATGGCGGTGGTGAAGACTTGTACTCAACCTTGGGTGAAGGTGAGTAGTATGATGGTGGCAGAGGAGATTTGTAGATGTATGGCAGTGGTGGAGACTTGTACTCTACCTTTGGAGAAGGTGAGTAATAAGGTGGTGGTGGTGGTGGAGAACTGTAAACGTATGGAGGTGGAGGAGACTTATACTCAACCTTTGGCGATGGTGAGTAGTACGGCGGTGGTGGAGGAGATTTATAGACATATGGCGATGGTGAAGACTTGTACTCAACCTTGGGTGAAGGTGAGTAGTATGATGGTGGCGGAGGAGATTTGTAGATGTATGGCAGTGGTGGAGACTTGTACTCTACCTTTGGAGAAGGTGAGTAATAAGGTGGTGGTGGTGGTGGAGAACTGTAAACGTATGGAGGTGGAGGAGACTTATACTCAACCTTTGGCGATGGTGAGTAGTACGGCGGTGGTGGGGGGGGGTTGTAGCCGTACGGCGGTGGTGGAGGAGATTTATAGACATATGGCGATGGTGGAGACTTGTACTCAACCTTGGGTGAAGGTGAGTAGTAAGGCGGTGGTGGTGGAGAACTGTAAACGTACGGGGGTGGAGGTGACTTATACTCAACCTTTGGCGATGGCGAGTAGTAGGGCGGTGGTGGAGGAGATTTATAGACATATGGCGGTGGTGGAGACTTGTACTCAACCTTGGGTGAAGGTGAGTAGTATGATGGTGGCAGAGGAGATTTGTAGATGTATGGCGGTGGTGGAGACTTGTACTCTACCTTTGGAGAAGGTGAGTAATAAGGTGGTGGTGGAGAACTGTAAACGTATGGGGGTGGAGGAGACTTGTACTCAATCTTTGGCGAAGGTGAGTAGTACGGCGGTGGTGGAGGAGATTTATAGACATATGGCGATGGTGGAGACTTGTACTCAACCTTGGGTGAAGGTGAGTAGTAAGGCGGTGGTGGTGGAGAACTGTAAACGTACGGGGGTGGAGGAGACTTATACTCAACCTTTGGCGAAGGTGAGTAGTACGGCGGTGGTGGTGGAGAACTGTAAATGTACGGGGGTGGTGGAGATTTGTACTCAACCTTGGGTGAAGGGGAGTAGTATGATGGTGGCGGAGGAGATTTGTAGACGTATGGAGGTGGTGGAGACTTGTACTCTACCTTTGGAGAAGGTGAGTAATAAGGTGGTGGTGGAGAACTGTAAACGTATGGGGGTGGAGGAGACTTGTACTCAATCTTTGGCGAAGGTGAGTAGTACGGTGGTGGTGGAGGAGATTTGTAGACATATGGCGGTGGGGGGGGCTTTTTTCGGGGGTGGTGGAGATTTGTACTCAACCTTGGGTGAAGGGGAGTAGTATGATGGTGGCGGAGGAGATTTGTAGACGTATGGAGGTGGTGGAGACTTGTACTCTATCTTTGGAGAAGGTGAGTAATAAGGTGGTGGTGGAGAACTGTAAACGTATGGGGGTGGAGGAGACTTGTACTCAATCTTTGGCGAAGGTGAGTAGTACGGTGGTGGGGGAGGAGGAGAATAATATGGTGGTGGAGGGGGAGAACTGTAAACGTAATGGGAAGGTGGAGACTTGTAATAAACCTTTGGAGAAGGTGAGTAGTATGGCGGTGGTGGAGACTTGTACTCAACCTTGGGTGAAGGTGAGTAGTATGATGGTGGCGGAGGAGATTTGTAGATGTATGGCAGTGGTGGAGACTTGTACTCTACCTTTGGAGAAGGTGAGTAATAAGGTGGTGGTGGTGGTGGAGAACTGTAAACGTATGGAGGTGGAGGAGACTTATACTCAACCTTTGGCGATGGTGAGTAGTACGGCGGTGGTGGAGGAGATTTATAGACATATGGCGATGGTGGAGACTTGTACTCAGCCTTGGGTGAAGGTGAGTAGTAAGGCGGTGGTGGTGGAGAACTGTAAACGTACGCTTCATAGACAATGATGGTTGGCAATAAGAGTGAAGATGAAGATGAAGATGATATACCGAATCCATAGTAATATCGTTTAAGTTTTTTATATTAAGAATAAGAGAATTATTTTTTTTAATTTGCTCTCATAATCCCACATGTTTCAAAAGATTATTCGCATAACTGCAAATCATCTTACTCTTGCAAAACTTTACTGTCACAAGACGCTTTCGCGTAGTTGCCTTTCAATCTCGGATGAATCATAGTTATTCTCGAGACTCCTTTTTGGCACCGCGATTGTCTTCTTTTTTTTATTAATCGAACGATTTTTAATTGTGTGTTGTCAAATTTGCAGCGCAGTCATTGGTTTGATGGTTTTTCAGTTATATCTTCTATTGACATAAGTTCCAATGTGATGTGGTTCAAGCGACATGCATTTGATTATCTTTTCTGCAAGTTTGACGTTTTATGATCTCCACGCTCCAACTTGAAGGGGTATGTTGAGATATATCGGATCTTGAAAAATATTACTAGATATATCGTATAACGAAGATCTTATCAAATCCGAAAAATATATATTTAGAAATATTTTTTTTGTTTATATTTTAATTTACTTATTTAATATAAGACTCTCATTTATTTATATGTTATTTTGATTATTAATAAAATATATCATTCCGCAAATTTCTATAGGGAGCTGACCGAATTTTGGTCCGCCGGACTAAGTGAAATTAACTAAGTTAGCCTCTTCTCTCGGATGTCGATGGACCAAGCAGAGCTGACCAAGAACTGGTCCAGAGCTGACTAGGAATTGGCCGATATTTTTCAACACAGGGTTTATTTTTCACACATATGAACATGAATAACATCGTTGAACAATGAACTATACGTATGTGTGTGAAATGTTCAAACTATTGTGATTCTAATGATGAACCAGATTTTAATGATATTTTATAACAAATTTTATAAAAATTTATGAAAAAATTTCTGTTATGTTAAAAACGCAGAACGATTTAGACATTCTACGGCCATTCAGTTGTTGCATTCCAATAATGTTGTCTGTTAAGAAAATTAATTCACTATTCAATTATCATAAACGAATGACCAGACATCATAAGTTGCCAGCGAATACATAGGGTGAGGGTTTGAAGTATTCCAATCCATCCATTTGTAAAAGGGGTAATCGCATAAAAATACCCAAACTTTTACAAAAATCCTAAATAAGTACCCGAACTATAAAATTGTCATATAAAAGCAGTTTTTTGCTGAGTCAACAGTTTTTTTTGCTGAGTCATCAGTTTTTTGCTGAGTCAGCAGTTGCGTTTGTTTGATTTGGAAAAAATTTAAAAGTTTGGGTATTTATGTGGGAGTTTTGAAAAGTTTAGGTATTTATATGACAATTTTATAGTTCGGGTACTTATTTAGGATTTTTGTAAAAGTTTGGGTATTTTTATGCGATTACCCCTTTTACAAATGGATGGATTGGAATACTTCAAACCCTCACCCTATGTATTCGCTGGCAACTTATGATGTCTGGTCATTCGTTTATGATAATTGAATAGTGAATTAATTTTCTTAACAGACAACATTATTGGAATGCAACAACTGAATGGCCGTAGAATGTCTAAATCGTTCTGCGTTTTTAACATAACAGAAATTTTTTCATAAATTTTTATAAAATTTGTTATAAAATATCATTAAAATCTGGTTCATCATTAGAATCACAATAGTTTGAACATTTCACACACATACGTATAGTTCATTGTTCAACGATGTTATTCATGTTCATATGTGTGAAAAATAAACCCTGTGTTGAAAAATATCGGCCAATTCCTAGTCAGCTCTGGACCAGTTCTTGGTCAGCTCTGCTTGGTCCATCGACATCCGAGAGAAGAGGCTAACTTAGTTAATTTCACTTAGTCCGGCGGACCAAAATTCGGTCAGCTCCCTATAGAAATTTGCGGAATGATATATTTTATTAATAATCAAAATAACATATAAATAAATGAGAGTCTTATATTAAATAAGTAAATTAAAATATAAACAAAAAAAATATTTCTAAATATATATTTTTCGGATTTGATAAGATCTTCGTTATACGATATATCTAGTAATATTTTTCAAGATCCGATATATCTCAACATACCCCTTCAAGTTGGAGCGTGGAGATCATAAAACGTCAAACTTGCAGAAAAGATAATCAAATGCATGTCGCTTGAACCACATCACATTGGAACTTATGTCAATAGAAGATATAACTGAAAAACCATCAAACCAATGACTGCGCTGCAAATTTGACAACACACAATTAAAAATCGTTCGATTAATAAAAAAAAGAAGACAATCGCGGTGCCAAAAAGGAGTCTCGAGAATAACTATGATTCATCCGAGATTGAAAGGCAACTACGCGAAAGCGTCTTGTGACAGTAAAGTTTTGCAAGAGTAAGATGATTTGCAGTTATGCGAATAATCTTTTGAAACATGTGGGATTATGAGAGCAAATTAAAAAAAATAATTCTCTTATTCTTAATATAAAAAACTTAAACGATATTACTATGGATTCGGTATATCATCTTCATCTTCATCTTCACTCTTATTGCCAACCATCATTGTCTATGAAGAAAGAAAAAAAGCTAGAAAAAGAATCGAAGCTTTCATATCATATAGAAATTTGTGGAATGATATATTTTATTAATAATCAAAATAACATATAAATAGATAAGAGTTTTATATTAAATAAGTAAATTAAATATAATAATAAATATTTCTAAATATATATTTTTCGCATTTGATAAAATCTCCATTATACGATATATCTCGTAATATTTTCAAAATCCAGTATATCTCAACACCCCTGACCAGGGTCATCTTCTTCCTCATTTTCCGAATTTTTCTTCACCATTGTTCTGCAACGTCTGGTTCGACGGACTAAACCCCGGTCAGCCTTGGACCAGACTTCGAACTTTTCACAAATCACACAAACACGAACTAAATCCGATTGGGTGACACACCAAAATAGTCACAAGCTATCATGGAACATGAATCAAGTATCAAATTAGCACGAATCATTCAAAAACTCAAAATCAAAGAGATTAAGATTTTTTTATTTAAACTCCTTTCACTCACCTGAGGTTTTCTCGTCGTTTTCTAACCCATTCTGACATTTCCTCTATGTTCCTCGTCAGTTTGTGGCTCCTCTGGTGGCTCCAGTTTGCTCCCCATGGCTGGGCTCGAGGGAGAGATGGTTGTTCTCCATCAAGAGAGACAAAGAACGAAAGGGAGAGAAAGAACACGTGAGAGTGAGAGAATAGAGAGATCTGAGATTTGAACCAAAGGAAGAGGGAAAAGAAGTGTGAAAGAGAAGGTTGACAAGCACAAGGTGGCAGCGAGGTGAAAGCCTCGGTGAAAACAAAGCAGGAGGTGGCGAGTTCCGGTGAAACAAAATTCACCATGAGTTGACCCAGCGGAGCCCGATCCGACAGACCGAGATTCGGTCTGCTCCGGACCAAGATCTTCACTCAGTCTGCCCTCGATTTCCTCAGTCTGTCAGCGCTTTGATTGTTGGTGTTCTAGTATGGCGAACCAAATGTTGGTCAGCCCCGGACTAGACATCTTTTCCTTCTTCTCTAGGTTTGCTCTGCCTGTTTCGGTTCGCCAGTTTGATCACTTGCTCGGTTCGGTGGACCTATAATTGTTCAACTCCGGACCAAGGCAATTTTTCTTCCTCGGACACGTTTTTGTCTGCATTACTTCACGAATTGCTCGGTTTCCCCGCTTCTTACTTGTTCCCGATCCTATTAATGGAATTTAAGGGATTATACGTTGGATCTGCTAATTTCCATTAATCAAACGTAATTAGTTCTAGTTTACGCTTATTTATTCATATTAACGAAATCCGGGATGTTACAATATTCATTAGTTAAAACAATGACTTAATTTATAGATTTGTTAAACGTTGTGATAGACTGTACACTATGACATCCTGGGTACCGATGAGGGGGGAGTGATGGCCGGTGCAAAAGAGCAGAGACAAGGTGCAGCTCCTGGCAGGCTTCTAGGTAGAAGGGGTTCGAGAATGAATCGAATGCACAAAGTGAGAGGGATCTGATGGCTATATAGGTATGGGACTATCCAGTCAATAATAACTTTAAAGATTTGATTGAACAACTCATACAAACAAGATAAATCTACTTTTTCGATTGTCTACCTCGAGAGAACTCCAAGTAAGTGCGTTTGCTCTGGAGTAGTCTCACGATGGGTGACCTCCTAGGTAGTACTTCCCATGATGTATGCGAGTGAGAAAAAAAATACACTAAAAGGTTTTCGTGTTGGTCTGTGGGGAAAGTTTCAACGTCTGTAAAGGTCACGAGGCGTTACGTATGCGAACCTTTCAAATGTTAGAACTTCCTCACAATTCAACAAAACGTATGTGTAGACCACATGATAATCTTTGTCAGATAAATAGGCATCACTTGGTTTACCCCACATCGTTTTTTTCTGTACAATATTTGTAGTATGTCTTCATGCATCGAGTAATTCGGTCCATCATCGCAATGAAATGGTCTGTTTGGCACTCTACTCTTTGTCATCACATGATCTTCGAAATAATATGACGTGAAAAATGAAATTTCCTCATTAATATATTGTTCTGCAATTGATCCTTCAACAAACGCCTTTTGTTTCATTTTTTGCTTCAAGTGGTACATGAACCACTCGAATGAGTACATCCATCTAAAACAAATACGTACAAAATCCATAAATATAATGTAAAACTATTTATACTCTTAGAATTGACCATAACATACCTAAATTGAATCGGTCTACCAAATTCTGCTTCTCGTGGTAGATCAATTAGTAGATGTATTATCACATTAAGAAAAGATGGTGGAAATATTTTCTCTAGATTTTCCAATGTTACAATCATCACCTCAACGTCTTCAATTTTCAGCGTCCGACTATAAATCTCGCAGAAAAAAAATGTTTATCCCAACAAAAAAAACATATCAATTATTGTAAAATACTTTGTTCAAATTGATAATTAAAGACTTATGAAAAATAAGGGGAATACCGCCAAAAAAATACAAACTTTTTAAATTTGTCTAATAAATACACGAATTTCCAATTTTGTATAAAAAAATACATAAGTTTTAAAAAACTTTGCATAGGCCCATAAAAACACTAAACTCAATAGGTTTTTTCAGTAGTTGTATGCGAAATTTTTTAAAAAACTTAGACATTATGTTCATTCTTTTGTTAGGCACGTGATTCGATAGCGCGAACACAAGACCATTGAATGTAAACTAAAATGGAAAAATCGCATATAAATACCTGGACTTTTTCAAAAATTTTACATAAATACTTGAACTATAAAACTCTTATATAAATACCTGAAGTTGTCACAATTTTATATATACCCAAACTTTTTAAATTCTTTAAAATGATACGAAAATTCATTAACGAGGTTTAATCTCTAACGGAATTTGTCAAAAATTAATGACTTAATAATTTGACACGTTAAACGTCGCTAACGAATATTGTTTTATTTGACAGATTTTCAAAAGACTGGGTATTCTTGTGAAAGCTTTGAAAAGTTTAGGTATTTATATGAGAGTTTATAGTTCAGGTATTTATATGAGAGTTTTATATACATGTTGTGAACGTATTTGCAAATGTAATAGGAAGCAATCGTTGCATGAAGACATGACAACCATGGCTCTTCATATCTGTCAACTTATTTCCTATGATGTCAACACATCGTGAAAGATTAGAAGAGCTGCCATCAGGAAATTTCACATCTGTAATGCCCCAGGCTGGTACCGAATATTGAAACTGCCCTCACACACTACACGAGACTTTTGAATGTGTTTTGTTCTCACTCACATACATATCGAAAAACATTTTCCATTAGGTCACTCATCTTTAGATTGCTCCAAAGTGAGCACGTTTAACTTTGAACTTCTCTCGGGATAGGCAATCGAAAAGGTGGGTGCACCTTATTGGTATGAGTACATCAATCGATCTTTTAAGTTATCTCTAATTGTGCAAATTCATACCTACACAACCCTTGTATCTCTCTTACTCTCATGTGTTTGATTCATTCTTGTACCCATCCGGCCTAGTGGTTCTCGGGGAGTTACTTCTAGTGTATGCCAATTGTACCGACGATTACTCCCCACCGTCATCCTAACTCGGGATGCCACAACATCTTCCTTCAATCGATTGTAATGAAATACATGGAGCCCACGAATATGAGATTACATAGTTATTTAATATATCAAATTCAAGAATACCAAAGAATAACACCAAAGACAAATAACAACAAAGCATATAGACTCATTACATTCGAAATAGGGAGGTGCAGTGGAGATGTTAGACGTATGTTTGGATGGAGGAGACTTGTACTCGGTCTTAGGGGCTGGCGAATAGTACGGTGGAGGTGGTTGAGAAGTGTACACATATATAGAGGAGGAGACTTTTACTCAGTCTTTGGAGAAGAAGAGTAATATGGTTGTGGAGGTGGCAATGTATATCATATGGGGGTGGAGGAGACTTGTACTTCACCCTAGAGACTGGTGAATAGTAAGGTGGAGGTGGTGGAGAAGTGTATACATATGGTGGAGGTGGAGGTTTGTAATTAGTCTTTGGAGAAGGAGAGTGATATGGCGATGGAGGTGGAAATATTAGACGTATGGGGGTGGAGGAGACTTATACTCAGCCTTTGGGCTGGCGAATAGTACAGTAAAGGTGGTGGAAAAGTGTACACATATGGTGGAGGAGGAAACTTGTGATCTGTCTTTGGAGAAGGAGAGAAATATGGTGGTGGAGGTGGCGATGTATATACATATTGGGTGGAGGAGACTTGTACACTGGCTTGGGAGAAGGATAATATTTTAGTAGTGGAGGAGGATATTTGTATACATACGATGGTGGAGGATTATATACAAGTTTTGGGGATGGAGAGTAACATGGTGGGGGTGAGGGATACGCGCAAACGTGTGGGTATAATGGTGACTTATACTAGACTTTTGGAGATGGAGAATTATATGGCGGTGGAGGGGGAGAACTGTAAACGTAATGGGAAGGTGGAGACTTGTAATAAACCTTTGGAGATGGGGAGTAGCTAGTAAGGTGGTCGTGGAGAACGACAAACATGACTTGTACCCAAAACCTTGGGTGAAAGTGAATAGTAAGGTGGAGGCGAAGATATTGAAAAGATAACACACCATTAACTTAATAAAACCAACCTTCTCATAGCATCAATAATCGTGAAATATATGAAACTCGTGAATATGACGATTACATAGTTATTCAAGACATCAAATTGAAGAATACCAAAGGCGAATAACAACAAAGCATATAGACTTTAGACATAAAAAATTTAAAAGGTAATCATACAAAGTCTGAAGCAAACAGATAATTCGACCAATGCAATTTATAGTTCATAAAAATTAAGAGGAATTTTGAAGAATAGTACTTAGATATTGAGTGGAATCCAAGCGATCATATGTTCACTGAATTCAATGGACTTTAGTAGTATGAAGGCGTAGGAGATTTATATTCAGTCTTTGGAGAAGGAGAGTAATATGGTGGTGGAGGTGGAGATGTGTTGATGTATGAGGGTGGAGGAGACTTGTACTCGGCCTTAGGGACTGGTGAATAGTACGGTGGAGGTGGTGGAGAAGTGTATACATATGGTGGAGGGGGAGATTTGTACTCAACCTTTGGAGATGGTGAGTAATATGGCGGTGGAGGTGGAGATGTGTAGACGTATGGGGGTGGAGGAGACTTATACTCGACCTTAGGGGCTGGCGAATTGTACGGTGGAGGTGGTGGAGAAGTGTATACATATGGTGGGGGTGGAGATTTGTACTCAGTCTTCGGAGAAGGAGAGTAATATGGCGGTGGAGGTGGAGATGTGTAGACATACGGGGGTGGAGGAGACTTATACTCCACCTTTGGGGCTGGCGAGTAATATGATGGAGGTGGTGGAGAAGTGTATATATATGGTGGAGGTGGAGATTTGTACTCAATCTTTGGAGAGGGGGAGTAATATGGTGGTGGAGGTGGAGATGTGTACACGTATGTGGGTGGAGGGGACTTGTACTCAACCTTTGGGGCTGGCGAATAGTATGGTGGAGGTGGTGGAGAAGTATATACATATGGTGGAGGTGGAGATTTGTACTCAGTCTTTGGAGAAGGAGTATAATATGGTGGAGGAGGTGGAGAAGTGTAGACATATGGGGGTGGAGGAGACTTGTACTCGACCTTTGGGGCTGGCGAATAGTACGGTGGAGGTGGTGGAGAAGTGTATACATATGGTGGAGGGGGAGATTTGTACTCAACCTTTGGAGATGGTGAGTAATATGGTGGTGGAGGTGGAGAGCTATACTTGTATGGATGAGGATGAGATTTATACACTGGCTTGGGAGAAGGAGAATAGTACGATGGTGGAGGAGGAGATTTGTATACATATGATGGTGGAGACTTATATACAATTTTTGGGGATGGAGAGTAACATGGTGGAGGTGGGGGACAAACACAAACATGTGGGTATGATGGTGACTTATAGTAAACTTTTGGGGATGGAGAATAATATGGTGGTGGAGGGGGAGAACTGTAAACGTAATGGGAAGGCGGAGACTTGTAATAAACCTTTGGAGAAGGTGAGTAGTATGGCGGTGGTGGAGACTTGTACTCAACCTTGGGTGAAGGTGAGTAGTATGATGGTGGCAGAGGAGATTTGTAGATGTATGGCAGTGGTGGAGACTTGTACTCTACCTTTGGAGAAGGTGAGTAATAAGGTGGTGGTGGTGGTGGAGAACTGTAAACGTACGGAGGTGGAGGAGACTTATACTCAACCTTTGGCGATGGTGAGTAGTACGGCGGTGGTGGAGGAGATTTATAGACATATGGCGATGGTGGAGACTTGTACTCAACCTTGGGTGAAGGTGAGTAGTAAGGCGGTGGTGGTGGAGAACTGTAAACGTACGAGGGTGGAGGAGACTTATACTCAACCTTTGGCGAAGGTGAGTAGTACGGCGGTGGTGGTGGAGAACTGTAAATGTACGGGGGTGGTGGAGATTTGTACTCAACCTTGGGTGAAGGGGAGTAGTATGATGGTGGCGGAGGAGATTTGTAGACGTATGGAGGTGGTGGAGACTTGTACTCTACCTTTGGAGAAGGTGAGTAATAAGGTGGTGGTGGAGAACTGTAAACGTATGGGGGTGGAGGAGACTTGTACTCAATCTTTGGCGAAGGTGAGTAGTACGGCGGTGGTGGAGGAGATTTGTAGACATATGGCGGTGGTGGAGACTTGTACTCAAGTTTGGTTGAAGGTGAGTAGTAAGGTGGTGGTGGTGGAGAACTGTAAACGTACGGGGGTGGAGGTGACTTATACTCAACCTTTGGCGATGGTGAGTAGTAGGGCGGTGGTGGAGGAGATTTATAGACATATGGCGGTGGTGGAGACTTGTACTCAACCTTGGGTGAAGGTGAGTAGTAAGGCGGTGGTGGTGGAGAACTGTAAACGTATGGTGGCGGAGGAGACTTATACTCGACCTTTGGCGATGGTGAGTAGTACGGCGGTGGTGGAGGAGATTTATAGACATATGGTGGTGGTGGAGACTTGTACTCAACCTTGGGGGAAGGTGAGTAGTAAGGTGGCGGTGGGGGTGAATTGTAAACGTATGGGGGTGGTGGAGATTTGTACTCAACCTTGGGTGAAGGTGAGTAGTATGGTGGTGGTGGGGGAGATTTGTAAACGTATGGGGGTGGTGGAGACTTGTACTCAACCTTGGGTGAAGGTGAATAGTATGTCGGCGGTGGTGGAGAACTGTAGACATATGGCGGTGGTGGAGACTTGTACTCTACCTTTGGAGAAGGTGAGGAGTATGGTGGTGGTGGAGGAGATTTGTAGACATATGGGGGTGGTGGAGACTTATACTCAACTTTGGGTGAAGGGGAGTATGATGGCGGTGGTGGTGGAGAACTGTAAGCGTACGGGGGTGGAGGAGATTTGTACTCTGTCTTAGGAGCAGGTGAATAGTGTGGCGGTGGTGGGGGAGATTTGTAGATGTATGGAGGTGGTGGAGATTCATAACTTTCTTTAGGCGAAGGTGAGTATTCGGGTGGTGGTGGAGAAGAATAAGTGTATGGCTCAGAGGCTGCGATAGTTGCGGCCATGACAGTTATGGCAAGAGCATAAACAAGAAGGGGCGATCTCCCCATCTTAGGGGAAGAACCCATTGTTTTGTTTTTTTTGTGTTTTGTGTTGTGTTGTAGAGAATGGTGTTAGTATTGGCCTTATATATAGCCGTCGTTGAGAACCCAGTTTGTTGGCTGCAACTAATTAGACGTGAGAGCATGTTCGAGAACATTATTGCTAACATGTTAGGGTACGAAGTCGTGGGAGGAATGTGCTCCAAATGTCAACGTGACAATTTGCATTTTGGATATAGTTTATTGATTATATTTTATTACTAAATTAATTAAAATGTGAAATCTAACGTATTTAGATTAGAATATAAAAATTACAAAATTGCATTGTATTAATAAAAAAAATAGACATAGAAAACTGAATTGGTTTAATTTTTGGAAAAATATTTTGTCGATACATAATCAAAATTTGATATGTAGGTTATGTGGATCATTTAAAGTTTGACTTTGTATTTTTTTTTTATTTTTTACAAATGGATGGATTGGAATACTTCAAACCCTCACCCTATGTATTCGCTGGCAACTTATGATGTCTGGTTATTCTATATGATAATTGAATTGTGAATTAATTTTCTTAACAGACAACATTATTGGAATGCAACAACTGAATGCCCGTAGAATGTCTAAATCGTTCTGCGTTTTCATTTGATATAACATAACATAAATTTTTTTCATAAATTTATATAAAATATTTAAAGTTTGGCGCATAAATTTCGGGTTTTATTTTTTCTAAACACCGTGTCAGCGGTAACTCAACGTATCCGTTGCCAAAGTGGTGCTTTTGTTCTTCCTGACTTAATTTAATATTCTGCAATGAATTCTATCGTTGTTCTTAACAAATTGTAAAGAATTCGGTATTGTTAAATTTTTTTCATAAATTTATATAAAATATTTAAAGTTTGGCGCATAAATTTCGGGTTTTATTTTTTCTAAACACCGTGTCAGCGGTAACTCAACGTATCCGTTGCCAAAGTGGTGCTTTTGTTCTTCCTGACTTAATTTAATATTCTGCAATGAATTCTATCGTTGTTCTTAACAAATTGTAAAGAATTCGGTATTGTGTAAAAAGCTCATGAGTACATAAAAACTATATTTTTTTTAATATTTATATAAAAATAAGACTTTATGTACTTAAGTTGAAGTATTATAAAAACCTTTGTATTTATTTGATATTTTACCATTTTAAGACGGAACAACTTTGAATTTCTTATGGACATTAAAACGAGTGCTGCTATGCGAAATGCATTTTCATTATGTGCGGTGAAATGAACCAACCGTTCTCATTCGTTTTCAAAACGGTGGAAACCTAATTGCTTAATTTTTTACTTTATAAAATTTATTTCCAAATTTGTAAAATATATCATTATAAAGGGTTGTACTTCCCATATCGACGGAAATAACATATGTCCACAATACCTAATTTGTTAATTCCATGTTTCAGATCAAACCAATCATATCTAAACATCATCATTTTTAGTCCAACATGTCAAAATATCATAAAAATCTGGTTCATCATTACAAGCACAATAGTTTGAACATTTCACACACACACTATATTTCTCTTTTTCGATGACGTTCATTTCTTGACGTCAACCCTAGCCGTCGTGAACATCTTTAAATATGGTTTATATCCTTTTTTGTTGGAAAACTCCGATAGTCGATCCGCACATTTGTGCCCTTTTTTCCGGCATAGCCGCTAACCACTGCGCTTTTGCGTTGCCGATATTGTTGTCGTGCTATACTACAATATTGTGCATCTGCACCACAACAATTATTTTTTCTTTCCTCTAGTCTCGCTGCTAATTTATCATGCATTTGCGTCGCACTTTTGTGCCCTTTTTTTTCATTTTTTTTTTCGTCATTGCCGCTATAACCCAACTCTGTATATGCGCCGCACTTTCATGCCACATTAGTCTCTGAGATGGTTGTCACTCACGTACAACTCTCAAGCTTTTCAAACGTTACCAAGTTCACAACATCAACTCATGTCCAAGCCACACCACTTAGTGGAAGATATTTTTTTCTCACAAAGTATTTGTCTTGTTCTTTGTTTTATGATTTTTATGTCAAGATTGATATCACCTACGGTGCTACATCTTGAGAGTGCGTATTGGTATATTAACATATTTATAAGTTTAGAATATTTAGATATATTTATATTATGGCATATTAACATATTTGTATCATTTCCCATCCTATATATATACATTCCTTTGAAACACAAATATTATTAATAAAAAGCAATCTCTATTATCTTATATATCATTATAAATGTTACGAAGCTTGTATTATATTATCATTGACAAGCTTCTTCTCTTCTCTTCTTTAGTGCATAGTGCAAAGAAAGAAAAACGAGAAAGTATTGAAGATTTGTAGCACTTAAGCTTAGAACTTTGTTAAGGAACCAAAGAGAGAAAAGAGAGAAAAGTGTTTAGACAGAAATGCTTAGGAAAGTTTGGTATGAAAAACTCCATACAACACCCCCTATTTATACTAAAACTCCAAACCTACTACTCTCATCACAACCACACACCTCATCTATCAATCACACCTACCATACCCTTATTTTCTTCAATCACACCTAAAACACACACACAAATTCAAACTTCTACAACTCCTTACATAAGCATTCCATCATTATGATGTAATCGCTTACATAAGCATTACATAAATATGACGTAATCGCTTACATATGCATTACATAAACAAGACATAAGCGAATGAATCACCTTCTCAATACTCCTCCTTGATTCATTTGTGTGTCATCCCAAGTTTCTTCGTCAACTCTTCGAATCGTGAAGCTCCTAGTGCCTTTGTGAAGATATCCGCCAATTGCTCCTCTCCTTTGACATATGTGAGTTTGATAACTCCATTGTGCTCCGCTTCTCTGACCACATGATACTTAATGTTGATGTGTTTTGTCCTCCGATGTTGAACCGGATTTCTTCCAATGGCAATAGCTGAGCTATTGTCACAGGAGATCGGTGTGCTCCCTTCTTGCTTGCAACCCAGACTATCAAGTAGATTCCGAAGCCATATGGTTTGGTTCACCGCAGCTGCTGCTGAGATGTACTCTGCTTCCGCCGTTGATTGTGCGATCACCTCTTGCTTTTGTGTCTGCCATGAGAATATTGCTCCTCCTATCTTGAACACATAACCACTTGTGTTTTTCATGTCATCTTGACTTCCGGCCCAATCACTATCACAGTATCCCTGCAACAGTATAGTGTTCTCGGGTTTGAAGTGTAAGCCAAGATCAATGGTTCCCTTGACATACCTCAATACCCTCTTCGCTTGCTTGAAATGTGCCATCTCTGGTCTGCTCATGAATCTTGAAAGATAACTCACAGCGTACATCAGATCCGGTCTTGTGGTCGTTAAGTACAAAAGACTTCCCACCATGCTTCGATATTCTTTTGCATTTGCTTCTTTCTCCTCCTCCATGTCAATGTTCTTACCGTTCGGCTCAAGTGGTGTGTTGATCGGCTTACAGTCAGACATCTTGAACTTCTCCAGTAATTTCTTCGCATAGCTTCCTTGGGATAACAAAACTCCATCTGAACTTTGCTTTATTTCCATGCCCAATAAATACTCCATCTTGCCAAGATCTGTCATCTCAAAGTGATGCATCATTTCTTCTTTGAATCTTCCAATGTTCTCCTCACTACTCCCGGTAATGATCATGTCATACACATATAGTGAGATGATCAGTATATCATCTCCAAGCCTTTTGATGTATACCGTTGCCTCGTATGGACATCTCTCAAAATCTTGTTTGAGAAAATATCCGTCAATCTTGCTATACCACGCCCTTGGGCCTTGCTTCAAACCGTACAAAGCTTTTCTTAGCTTCAGTACGTGATCTTCTTTGCCTTCTACTTCAAATCCTTGAGGTTCTCCATAAATACTTCTTCCTCAAGTTCACCATTCAGAAATGCGGACTTCACATCCATGTGATGTAGTGTCCATCTCTTTTGTGTTGCAATCGCAAGTATGAGTCTGATAGTATCGTACCTTGACACAGGTGCAAACGTCTCTGTGTAGTCTTCATCGTACGTCTGACTTAACCCTCTTGCAACCAGCCTCGCCTTATGCCTTTGTATGGATCCATCTGCTGCAGTCTTGAGTTTGTAGATCCACTTGACAGTGATAGCCTTCTTCTTCTCGGGTCTTTCCACCAACTCCCAAGTGTTATTCTTCCCAATCATGTTGACTTCTTCTTCCATCGTTTTTCTCCATTCTGGATAACTTTCAGCCTCTTCAAAGCTAGTTGGTTCTACAGAACACATGAAACATGCTTCCATCATGTCTGCAGAATAGTCCAACACTCTTGGAGCGACTTCAAGTTGTTGAACACACGATGAGCACGTCCAAGGTTGTCCCGGTATATGTGTCCAAGCTTTTATGCGTTATGAAGGCTAGCTTGGATCAAGACTGACAATACAAAAAGGCTCAGACCAACACATGCAACACAAGACGTTGGAAGAGGCTTTGGTCTTTACCTTGAAGAGCAAGTTAAAAAGTGACTTATTTGTCACGGATTATGGGCGATTTGTTCCGGATTATGTGACTGTTTGGGGAGAATAAATTACAAATCAAATCGTATCAATGCCACAATCTAAGCTTGGAGAATCAGATCACATGAAGTCTACTTACCCAAAATACTTTTATATTATATTGATAGATTATATAGACGTTTGGAGCACAATATTATGGCTATATTACCTTATCTTTCTTCCATTCATTCACGTACTATTGTATATATAAATACATGTCTATTATGCTTATTAATAAAATATCTTGAGTTGACTTTCAACCCTCTCTTGCGAAACTACGAGAATGTCTTCATCATATCATTTGTTTATCATGCACTCTTAACTCTGTTCTTCTTTGCTTTTTCGCTCATCAATTCTCAAAATCTTCATAATTATCTCCTTCATAGACCTCGTCTTCGGGTTTCTAGGTTCTGATGAACTCCCTTCTGGAGTGTCTTCTCCAGTGTTGGTGGATGTAGGACCACTTGATTCCTTATAGAAATCTGGTGCAGGAACTGCAA